CAGCCAACATCCTTGAAATTAAATGTCATTCCCCATTAGGAGCTACAAACGTTCAGAGCTTTTTATCCAATTTTAAGATGCAGGAGAGAAGATGGGATACTTCTTTGTCCTCTAGCCCCAGAGTGCAATGTTTCTGCACTTAGCTTCTGCTGCATCTTTCTTTTATAAGAAAGCTACCAAAGTTATTATACATCCCAGATTCTGTTCTGCTCCTGAATGAGGAATCTGGAGATGTAGATCATATACAGCTTCTAAAACACAGATGCACAGCCTACTTAAAGAGTCCAACATAACAAATAACTGCGGTTTCTCTTAATTTTACTCTGCATCGAAACTCAAGCTCCTAGACCATGAGTATACTCTATTATTTTTGGTCATTTATTCAGACACAATTCTCAGGTTCAAGGAAAACTGCCTCTCTAGAAATTCTTTCTCTCTGTTCCTCCCCTTCTTATCTCCCACTCTATTAGATGCTGTCTTGTTTTATTCTCACCTTCTGAACTCTCTTGGATTGGTTCCATTTCTTGCTGCCCTGCTTAGTTCATGGTCACCAAAACCTTCTCCCTATAATGAACTAGATTTCTCAATTATTTCCTTTCTTTTCTTCTTAGAACATCTTTCCTGGTTTTTGCAGTAATCTGAGATGAAGTTATCTGTTCCACTATTGTTGACCCAGTTTCTGGTACAAACAGTCTTTTTTTGGAGTTGATCATACAAAAGATTCTCTTGTCTAAAGCAAAATAAGAAAAGACCACTACTATCCACAGAACAAAAGTTAATTTTGAATTATGGTTAATTATAAATTATAAATTCATATTGTAGGTTAATTATAAATTCATATTGTAGGATCATCTTCCTTAGCCTGGGACTTAACTGTTTTTGTACTTTGGGACGCTTTGTCTGATCAAGGTATAGCTTGTACCAATCCATGATAAACCAATTAAATAACATAATATAAGTTTTGTTTAAGATTAATATTATTTCAGAAAAGAATATCTGTCCAATTATTTGTTAGACAATGTTAAACACTTATAGGAGTTGATAGTCCATAGTCTGGAGTCAGGGAGAGGATTAGTTAAAGAGATGCCTAATGATTTTTTTTCAAGGATAAGATGGAGCCATATATTATAGTAGACCGAAGGAAAAAGGAACTATTTAGGAAAAGACAAAATCAATCTTAATTAAAAAGCACAACGGAGATGAGACAATCTGTATTGTTCACTTAGGTTGGCCTAAAGAGTTAAATCAGAAATCCTATATATTGAATTCTACTGTGTTCAATGTGATTAATAAATATAATCATTATAACTCTATTTCAGAACTTGGTTTTCTTTAATAATCCTCCATCTGCCACTTTAAGTCAACTCCTAGAAGTGATGAGCTGGCAGTTTTCATCATATGTCGGCCGTGGCCTCAACTCAGATCAACTCAATATGCTGGCAGAGAAGCTTACAGGTGAGAGCTCATATACATGGATGACTTGCCCCTGCTTTTGGTACTCAAGTGTTTTAGAAAGCCAGGGTGATATTACTACTATTAATAATAGCAATGATCATCACAATTTATTGAGTTCCTACTATAATGGCAGGCACAAGGACTAAATGCTATATATTTTTTCTTACAAAAGTTTTTTAAGGGTGAACAATGATTATTTAAGGCAAAATGATCCATTTTACAGATGAGGATACTCAAGTTCAGAGGTTAAGTAACTTGCCACAGCTGCATGGCTAGTTCATAGCAGAGCCAAGACACAGGCCAGGCCTGCCCATGGCTAAAGCCTCACTTCCATTTCATTTCACACTTCAGTCTCTAGGGTGTTTTTATGCATTTCCATTGAATATAATGTGAAGTCTTATAATGAATGGTGCCTTGATCTCTCATATTAATATCACAATGGTCATTAACCAAATAGAAAGTAGCTGATTCCAGGGCCAGAAAATTTAATAGAAATTAAAAACCACCCAGGTAATCCTTAATTCTATGTATCAAGAAAACTTCAACCAGAGGATAAGGGGAAGGAGGGAGAAGGGAAGTAGATAGGATAAAAGGGATCAAATATATGGTGACAGGATGCTAAATCCTGTACTACTCAAACATTCTCCTTTATAAACTCTCCCTTATCTGAAAAAAACAAAAACAAAAACTTTGGTTTTGATGTTTCTAAACTTTGTAATATAGAGTCATTGGTACTCCTTGGAGTGACTATAATGTAAGCTTTTTCTAAAAGAATTTTAAAAGATATCTATATTTTGACAATTCTGGGATGAACACATTTAGCACCAAAAAGAGTTAAAATGAGATTTGTATACAGTTCTAGTTAAAGTAGGGACAAAGATGCATTTGAGCAGCAATATTGGAAACATGTGTGATTTGGTTAAGTTTGACTTAACCAGGTGATGCTGGGTTGCCATTTGTAGCCATTATCTGATCAATACAAATTTAAATAGATCAGAGCTTTGGGAATATTATAAAATGTACTAATGTAAGTATCCTTTTTGATCCTTATTTAATTTCTATACTGCAGTAGTAGGAATTCAATAAATATTTTTTAACGAGTGAATAAAGCTTTTAAAAATGTAGCATAGATAGCCACCATATCCTTTCAGATCTTTATCAAAGTATTCTTATGAGTATAATTTCTTTAGAAATTTAGATAGAAACTCTTGTATCCTTTCACTTCCCTGGATCAAAAGTCAATGGTCCCTTATTGCCCAGTGAATCTTCATCCATTCTTTTCATGTAATGGTCAAGACTCCTGGTAATCTGGATACATCTAATTTATACAAAGTGATTTTATAATGTTTATTCTCCAACATTAGGCTGCCTTTATAAGCCATAATCATGTCCACTATGCTTCATCCTTTATTATTCTTGCTACTGAAGTGGCCTCCTCTTTCTCCTATCCATTCTTAACCAAATCACACACGTTTCCACTACTGCTGGTCCTAGACACTCACTCTCTTCCTAAAACTATCTTGACTTCCTCTGTGGAAAAGAATAAATAATATATTTTATGATATATTATTATTGTTTCTAGCAGTAAGTACACTGTAAACACATAGCAGGTGCTTAAGAAATGCTTGAAAGAAGAGGGGGGAAGAGAAAATCTAAATTAAGCACCAAATTGAAGAGGCTAATTGTTTGATAAAAATCTCATTCTTTTCTTTCATTTTAGTCCAAACTAGCTACAGTGACGGTCATCTCACCTGGGCCAAGTTCTGCAAGGTACAAACAAGGGAAGGGAGACATCATTTATATAATCTTTTTTTAAAAAAATAGCATTCCTTCTTTTCTACCTGACAAAAGTCGGTAGTCTTTTAATATCAATGGCAGCATGCATTTAATTTGGAAAGGTACGTCTGTTTTAAGATTTAAGAAATACATTATGAACTACCAGTTGGATATTGACATTTTTCCAATATTGGCTATTTTTTTAAATGTTGCAATTAGAATCTTGTATATACCTTTTTATATTTATCTAAACATTTCCTTCAGATAAAAATCCTAAAATATTGCTGAGCAAAGTGTTAAAGGAATAGTTAAAGCTTTCAATACACATCACCAAATTGCCATCTAGAAAACTTGTCTGAATTTATAGAAATGAGAGCATATATTCTCCAGTCCTTGACAAGATTGGCTTTATTATTTTTTATATTGTAGATCTGATGGGTGAAAATGTAATAGTGCTCCTTTTTAAGTCTCCAAATCATAGTCTAGGATTTTGGTGACTTCCTGAATAAGGTTATTTTAAAAAGAAATTCTAAAGTGTTGTCTCATTTAAAGGAAATATTTCACTGAAAAAGAGGAACTCAAATTATTATATCAACATAATTATTGAAATAGTCATTGTCCTAATATGTTTGTCTATTCCAATAGGAACACTTACCTGGTAAATCATTTACCTTTTGGACATGGCTTGAAGCAATATTAGATCTAATTAAGAAACACATTCTTCCCCTTTGGATTGATGGGTGAGTTACTGGTTATATTTTCCATATGAGTTCATTAGGTTCTTATTTTTATGCTGTTGTGTTTTTTCGTTTTCTTTTCTTTTCAAGCATGTTTAGTGTCATTGGGGGAAATAGTTGTAGTTTCTTATATTCTTCATAGAATATTGATATTTACTTTAATCTATATAAGAGTATTTCAGGCACCATTGACATTGGTTATACTCAAAACAAATTTAAGTCTGTTCTTTGTGAATGAATTAAATGTAAATGCAATAAATTACAGGCTTTGCTCAGATAAAACTATGCACTGTTCTATTTTTAGGTATGTCATGGGCTTTGTTAGCAAGGAGAAGGAACGACTCTTGCTAAAGGACAAAATGCCTGGAACTTTTTTGTTAAGATTCAGTGAAAGCCACCTTGGAGGAATAACTTTCACCTGGGTGGACCACTCTGAAAATGGTACGTGCTCACTATTGTTTATTCTTGTGAGATTAATATCAAGTTTAGCTAATCAAGTTTCAGTTTTTAGAAATGCGTGGTGTGTTCTGTTTCCCATATGTTCAATGGGTTTGAATATTAATTATTACAGTTGTGCCAGAATGGGATACCGTGAATTTCTCATAGACCGTATGGGTGTCCTCTATCATGTGGCAATCTGTACTGTCCAGACTGTAGAAAAGGGCTGGCATTGTTTTGTAATCAGTGACTTCATGAGGGCAGGAAAAATGGCCCCAAAGGATGCCTGCAGGAACATGAATATCCCCCTGCTTTCTGTTTTTCCAGGAGAAGTGAGATTCCACTCTGTGGAACCCTACAATAAAGGCCGGTTGTCTGCTCTGCCATTCGCTGACATCCTTCGAGACTACAAGGTTATTATGGCTGAAAACATTCCTGAAAACCCTCTGAAGTACCTATATCCTGACATTCCCAAAGACAAAGCCTTCGGTAAACACTACAGCTCCCAGCCTTGCGAAGGTTAGGTTCTTTCTGTGTGCTTTTTTTCCTTAAGATTTTGGAAGATAACGTCATATTGAAATAAAGTAAATGAAGTTTCTTTCTATGTTTACTTTGATCATTGAAAGATCCAAGAGGTATGTGGCGGTCAAAGCCTTTGGAAAAAAGTGGTGTGTCAACGGTCCATTTAAAGGAATGGCCAGGGCTGTCTAACTCTAGCAGAGTAGTTAGGAGTGAGTAGAGTAGCTGGAACCAGAGTTCACCAGGGCCATGGGGACCGCTCATAGCCACTTGGAGGGTTTTGGTTTCCTCCTTCCTTCTATGGTTCTGATTTCACTTCTGTGACTGGGAGAGAAGAAAAGAAAGTGAAGGTAATGATTAGAAAGCTGTTAAAAGTCAAGCAAGCCTGTTTTTTGGGGGAGTTTTTGTTTGTTCGTTTGTTTGTTTTTGTAAAAGAAGCCCAGGGTTTATAAGCTTTATAGTTTTATCTTATTGTAGTCTCACAACTCAGTATTGTTCATTTGCCAGGGGGTCTGTGTAACATCTCCCATCTCCTAGCCTACCAATAACAAGGCTTGACATGCCTGCCTTTCCTGGCTGAATGTTAAGGACCTAAAATAATACCTGGCCAAAGAGGAATTTGGTAAATAGCTATTGAATACATGAAAGAACATTCATGAAATTAGTTACATAATTGTAATATAAATCCACCATTCTATTTCTTTAATGAAAGTATATATGATCCATTAAAATGTTCATCTACAGCAACTAAATCTATGAGTACCATCATGTGGAATACCTTATATATGTCACTTACAGCGGGTGACTTGCTGCCACTCTACTTCATCCCCTTCTGAAACAAACAAACAAACAAAACAATAACAAAAAAAATCCCTGTGGCTTTTAAGTATCTCTACAACTGATCAAATGAAACAACGAATGCCAATGAAACAAATTACAGATGAAAAATTACAGTTGGTCCAAATTACAACCAAGCACAAGTTCAATGTAGTATACCAGAGAAATTTGGGGAATGTTTCGAGGGTGAGGTTGGTACATAACTGTTGCTATAGTACAGTAGTACTTTTAATAACACTGATGTCTGTGCTTCAAAAATTTGTGTAAATACAAGATTATGATTGGTGTCAGTTTTAATGAAAAGAGTTGAGTTACCATAAATCCCCCAACACATGAACAAATCAGTCCTGACAATCACATAGAAGCCAGTAATATAGTTGGGTTCTCAATTTTTCTCACACATTTTAGAGACATTAATGTGTAAAGTCAGATCGGGCCTGCCAAAAGATTTGCTTTTCTCTTCTTGCACACTTTATGCTCATCTAGAATACTGTTTCATCTAGTCAACTAAAAATTTTTGTGACTCGCTAAGCAATTTTATTATCTCTCTTCTTTTTAGCATTACATATTTCTTTCTAGACTTTTTTCTAATTTTATCAATAGTATTGGTAACATTTTTTTCCAACATTGTGCCTTTCTTTTCCAGTCTCAAGACCAACAGAAAGGGGAGACAAAGGTTATGTTCCTTCTGTTTTTATCCCCATCTCAACCATGTAAGTAATCTTAGTCACATATAAAATATTTATTATTGAATTTATCAAAAGAAAGCTTTCTTATAGGAAATTTAACTGAGAGTAAAGCATTTTAATGTTCAATGTTCCATTCCTTTTAATACATAAAGCTAGTCTTCAGGACACACAGTCTATCATGATTGGAATTATAAAGTTGTCCTTTTATATGCCATATATTCCATAGTAGGCTTAATGTTGTGACAGCAAATGATGAAGTTGGAAATCTCAGAGTCATAAACAGATAAAGCCCTAGAAATGAATTCCTGAGACAATAAGTTGTCACCAGCTGTAATTTTTAAATCCTTTTCAATATTTACCTTATCTCTTTAAGCCGAAGTGATTCAACTGAGCCACAGTCTCCATCAGACCTTCTTCCCATGTCTCCAGGTGTATATGCAGTGCTGAGAGAAAACCTGAGTCCCACAGCAATTGAAACTGCAGTATGTTCCCTTTCTTTTCCATTGCTGGTCAAGGGCATTCCTAATGAAGCAGAGGTAGTGTGTGAACCAAAGGGGCTGAAGTTCTGCCTGGGCAGTGAGAAAACAAATTCATTAGCATAACACAAGGGATGTCCGTATAGTCCTGTGTGTTGCTAATCTTATCTGCATTGAGAGCAGACACCTTCACTTATTTGAACTGCTTTAAATTCTTTTCATCACAAGTCACCACAGGGCAAAATATTCCTGAATTCGACTCTAATACACTTCATTCCTACTTCCACTATCGGCCCCACCAACCCCTACCACTCTCTCCACTTTAGCAGACAACACATATTAGTCAATATTCATAAGCCTAGTTTAATATTAATTTTAGCAGTTGAGGCACCACAAATTCCAGGGGTTTTTTTTGTTTTGTTTTGTTTTTTGATTGTTACTTGCATTATTAGTCCCAGGAGTCTCCTTAAGTAGTATCTGAATAACAATCAGCAGCAGTATAATAATACTTTTCTGAGAACTGAGTCATAATTGTAAATGCAGTTATCGGATTTAGGAAGCCTTTTATCTGTTCTTAAACCCCAGTGCCATCAAGCAGATCCAACCCTCAATTTACATGAGGATGAACATATATTAGAATAATAGAATCTTGAAGGGACTCCCGCCCCAAGAGATTTCTATCTGGCTGTAAATCAAGTGGTTTTTAGTCCTTCTCTTGAAGACTTCCAGGGATGGAAAATCCATACTGTCCTTGGATAGCTTATTTCGATGTTAGTTGTCCTTAAATCATTCAGCTGTGAGAGAACTTTTGCAACATTTTACAACCACTTCCTCATTACATTTTTGGCAGGATGAGTAGGACCTCTTAAAACAGTTTTCATCTACTTAAAAAGTGCCTTTTATTTTAGACTGATCAATCCCTATTACTGTTGTGAATACTTAGTAGATAATTGGCAGAATGATTATGGAGTATTTAGTATATGAGAGGATGTTTACCTAAAATAGTGATTTATTTGTAAAATAATAGTTTCTTCAAAGGTCATTTTCATTTTTCAATTTTAGATGAAGTCTCCTTATTCTGCTGAATGACAGAATAAACTCATGACACTCAAAAGAAGGAAGCAAAGGAAAATGTTTAAAGACTGGTCTTTGCCAACAATTCAACTTTGTATATACCGGTTTCCAGTAAATGGTTGAAGTCTGAAGCTCTCCTCTCACTGGCATGACACCCACAATTGAAAGTGTTGTGATTGAAATGCTAAAAACCAAAGCTTCAGATAAACTTGCAAGATAAGACACTTTGAGAAACCAAGTGTTAATATAATATTAACTAAAGACTCATTTGTATGTATTTATTTCATTTCTGATTTTGTTTCTCACAAGTTACTTATGATTTCGGTTCTAGAAGGTTCAAGTGTTAAGATTTCAGAATAGGTCAAAAATAACAGGTACAACTACATTACTCAAAAACCAGCAGGACAGCCTGAGGGAAAAGCCAAATAAGCCAGTGTCCTGAGCTCTAGCAGGTAAGGGTTATCACACTAGACACAACATGTAAGTGATGGGGCATTAACAGCAGCAATTCCAGGGTGTCCAGGGGTGAATTAGGAAGCCTCTTGATTGCCATGTCAACAATGTCCCAACTTTTGAGTTCACAGATGCTGGTATCACTGCCAGGAATACTTCTTATTAGGGGGAGGGACTCAGAGTCATTCCTGGTGATATCTGATATTATGGGTCATACTGGATGCTTAGTACCATTGCCCAGCTGTTGCCCTTAGTGGGGTCCCCAAGTGCTAGGACCTGGGGAGCTCTCTATGTCCACCAGGCCCTAGGAAAGCTGCTGAGCCAGGTAAGGAAGTCATAATAACTAGGCACATGCCATGACCTACTGGTGAAAAATCCTGAGGCTTGTATCCAAGGTGAGCCCTGACTGCAATGAGAGATGACGGGTGCCCTGTGGGAACTCCTCTCTAACTGATTTTCTGTCCCCCAGGCAAGACAAACAGGGAAAGGCCAATGTTTGATGGAAAAAGAATTCAAAGGGTAAAAAAGATTTTAACATAAACTGCCTTCTCCCTTAGAGAGCTTCCATCCTATCAATCTCCTCTATACCCTAGAATAATTTTTTTCTGCCAAATTAGTAGCAAATAAGCAGCATTAAATGAAACATAATATAGATTTTCAAAATAGTAACCATATTTTCCTTTTTCCCCTCACCTATCCTACACCAATCTCAGATGTCCATTTTACTGAACCCTTTTCAAATTCTTGTAAAGAATCACTTTGACCAATTATACTGAATATCGATAACTTTATCTGGAATAAATGCTGAAGAAAGACAGCTGCCAGTGTATTTCCTCAAAGTCTCAAGGTAGCAAGGAAAGTCCCCCAAAGAACTATAAAGAGTGAGTATAACTCTGCAAGCCCAAGAGATTTTTCTTTACCTTACATGGTTCAGGAGGCCCACGTGCACCTTGTAGTAGAAGGAACAGAAATAGGGGTCAAACCATCCAACTGCTATGCTCTAATAGTAGATAATTGCAGTCCAGACTTAGTAAACTGGACTCTGTACACGTGCACTCCAATTTCTGACATATAATCTTTTTAATTGTTTCAAATTGGCCATGAGAACATTGAATGGGCTGACTGCATTTTTTAAAGTCTGGCTTATTGAAGTATAATTTACAGACAGTAAAATCCACCTTTTCCTAACAAACCCATTCAGTTGTATAACTACTACTATAAGACATAGAACATTTCAACCAGAATCCTCACAAAGAGGACACTAAAAAAAACACGATGAAAGACATTCTCTGCAACATCCATTACAGTAAATACAACAAAAATTCCATGTGGCTTCCGATGTAGACAGAGGGCTCTATTTAAAGCAAATTGGATTATTTCACTCCCTGCTTAAAATCTTCAAATGGCTTATAATGTTCCAATTAGCAGTTCCTGTCTGGAGAGTATGGACAGAATTCTGGAGGTTCGTGAATTTAGATGGCAATAGTTAGAATTTTACTTTCATAAAATTCTGGCTGTAACTTAGAATTTCCTTCAATTAGGTATATGGGCAACAAACCATAACCTACACCATATTTTTGTCACATTACAGTTGTTACAGTTATCTTAAAATATTGCTATGCTAAGAACAATTTTAAAATTGCATTCATCAGACCCATTACTAGATCTTATTTAATGCCATTAATAAAGAAGCACTTAAGTCACAAAATTGGTTTCAATATTTTGATATCTGCATTTCAGTGTAGTTTCCTTTTTAATCCTAGGTCTTTTATTTTATTCAACTGAAAACATTATTTTTTTGAAGGAGTTTATAGGTTTCATCTAACTACCCAAAGGGTCCATGGCACAAAAAATATTAAGAATCCCAGTTCTGGATGAAGACCATAATTCTTAACAGATCTTTACAAAGTCATTTTTTAGTCTCTTCTTACTCTTCAACTCATCTCTCATCTCATGTCTCATCACTTCTCCCCAACACTTCTCGTCCTCCAAAACATATATGCAAAAGATTGACTGAACTACTTTCAGTTTCTTTGATGGTCCATACTCATTTCACTTCTCTGTGCTATATCCTCTCCATTCTCCAAAACCATCTCATCTATATCTAGTCACCTAGATAACACTTGCACATCCTTTGGGCTCTGGAAAGGCTTCATGTCACACACACACACACACACACACACGAGCACATATGTATGGCTCAGGTTACATCGTACCTGCTCCATATCCTCTAGACCCCCTAGCACAGTCTTTATCGGCTTTATTGTAAATGCATATCAGCCATCTTCTTCATTTAACTCTAAGCAATCTCTGTTATATACAGAAACCAAGAAGGCTTTGTTCACAGTTATATCCCTAGGATCTAGCACAATCTACCTTTTAATAAATACTTGGTAATGACTTGGTGTTTTGAACACACAGAGGACAGCAATTAGTTCCCTTCTTTCCTTTGCTCCTTTGCTCCTTTGGCCTACCTGCAAGACTAAACTAGAACTCCCTTTATAATGCCTCCAAACTCTAAAATCATAAACAGTCCGCAATATTACTTTTCAAACTGATTAACCAAGAAGACATGCTTGCTATGGTTCAAACATCACAGGACTTCCTCTCTACTTTACCTCTCTCCAAACTGTGTAGAAATGCTCTGGAATTATATTGTTTGATTATTAGCTTACTCTAACTTTCCTTTAAGTATCTCATGTGTGCCAAACATCCCAGACATCTACCTACCTGAAATTTCCCTTAAGTCCCTCTCATTAAACTCATAGCCTTTACTGCTCCTGCCCCCGCTAAAAATCCTATACAACATATTCTTACTTTAGACTTGACAATCATTCACCTAGAAGTCTTATCAACTGCCTCACATGGAAAAAATCCCAGAGGCAGGGTGGAGATTGGGGAGAGAGGTTAGAGGTAGAAGAAGAATGGTGCTCTCATTAAAATCCTTTAGGGGAGTTGTTCAGAATAAACACGCTCTTCTCCTTCTCAACTCTAGCCCATTTGTGCCAGTGCTGAGTTCTGAAGGGTGGGATTAACCTATGATTCCTGATCACAGTGTTGGTCAATGATGTTATTCACTCATCTAAAAAATATTATTGACTACTCTGTATCAAGCATTACCTTTCTCAACCAAAGTTTCCCATCTAAACCACAAGAAAGTGATTTGCTTGACTGTTTTCTCAGTGTCCCAAGGATGGTAAGTTGTGCCATTCTAGATATATAGGAGAGAAGGTGATTCATAAACAGGTACCTTGGGGCATTAGGCTTAATTCTCTCATGGAACAAAAATGAGACAGGCTGTAACAGCTCCAAGTAACTCCTGTTGTGAGGAGAGATAAAAGTAGACAAGCAAATAATAAAGGACAGATTTAATAAGTGCTGTGAAGAATAAAAGTGTGACATATTTAAGAATATAAATGTAAATGGAAGAAGTGGTTAATGAAGGTCTGTCTGAGGAGATGGCATATGACTTGAGGACCT